TTTTTTTTAGAACAGATAAGACGTTTCGATTACGTTTCGAAACGTCTTATCTGTTCTAAAAAAATAATTTTCCTTGCTGTAAAAGCTGTAACTTGTATTAAAATAATACTTAATCAGTAAATAAACTAAAAACGAAACTATTAATTTAAATCTAATATTACAATACATTTCGAATAGGTTAATTGTTACTCACTGAACAGTACAGTTCTTCAGTTACAAAGTTATACAATCTTTGTTAATTCTGCAATAAAACCGTGGATTTTAACGGGTTTATTTTCTAAAATGTCGCCACTTTAATCATATTTGGCTAATCCTAGTTTCTATGCTGTTATTACATATTTACTATTGCAATTGTTCACTGAAAGTTTGAAAATACAGTCTACGTTGTAGAAGTGCTTCGTTATGGAAAAAATGTCTGATACATAATTTCTCTGAAACAAACTTTTTTGTTTCACATTTAAGCTGCCAGACTATTTCAATTCATGATAACTAAACTATTTTAGTACTTCCTTATTCACGCCTTAGTCTCACCCAATCACAAGCGCTTTAATGCATATTAATTTTTTGCCATATTCTAACTGGAAAACAAGATAGGTTTTCAGGTTACATTAAAATGAAAAGGCTTAGAAACACATTTATTCAAATCATATGACAAATCACAACATGTAATAATAATTAAACCATATATCAAGTTATTTAATTAAATTGTTTTCATTTTTGTATTTTATTTTTAACAAGATAGGAAATATCTACTCACCATTGAAATCAGCTCGCTGGAACACCTAAATTATACAAAAAACACAATAAATTTTAAAGTAATATTTTCACACTCTTGCACGTTAATGCATACACACATTTATTCGTAGGTTTGAGACTTGAATCTATTTATATACCAATGAATATATTAGACCAGAGACGTGCAATAACTTAACTCACGTTAAGAAGCACTGAACTTCCTTTCTGCAGCGAACTAAAAGGGTTGAAGTTCTCCATGTCTGTCAGTGCTGCCATCGTGTGTCGACCTGCTCAACTTTGCTTGGCTGTTACCATAAAGAACGCTATTTAGAGAAGTCTCCCACGACGCTAGCGGGGAGGAGCTAGCCTAGTGACGAATTTTTCTTTAGGTTTACAGTAGCTTCTTTTATGCGGGGAATGTGCTTTAGGTATGTAGTTTTGAGGGTACTAAATTGATATCACCGAGGTAGGTTGCCTATATTACTCCATGCAAGTTGCATTACATCATCAAAGACGTCATAAAATGTATGATACGTAGGCCTAATATCTTTTAATAGACAAGTTATCCTAGACCTGACTTAAAAACCACACTTCTTTTACATAAGATTTCTATGAAATACTATTGTAAGTTTCCTGGACTTGGGATAAAAAGTGAAATATTACTTATTACCTGCCGTTACTCCCAATTATCAACGCAACAAAAGATCTACGTTGAAGGAACACGCTAGTCTTGTGCTTACAATGTACACATCCCAAATGAAGCTGCAAACGGCCGTCAACAACATCTAACAGTTACGTTTTTGGCGTGTATTACATTTTTAGCTTGCCGAGTTTCATTTCTTTGTTGTTGTTTAGTCTCAGAAAACCCGACGCCTTAAAAGCACATTTAATATAGCCATGTAGTACAGTTATTTATATATAACAGTTTCTTCGTTGAGTTTTTACAACCTAATCTGTGAAATAACGGTAATCAAACGAGACAGCATTTCAATGTAAGGAGATAATGCTTTAGCTACAGCTTTTCGTTGGTAATAAGACATTCACAATCCGCCGAATTCGTACCGGTATGGTTACACGCATTTCCAGAAAATAAAACTGGCGTAGATATTTTTAATTCTGATCTAACAAAAGTTAATGTAATAAACTTTTTAAACTCGAAATTGGATAATCTCTGTTAATTTGTGTACAGTCTTAGCCAAAATGTTTGCATATTTTGTAACACATAAGATCATTATTGTTCAGATAGAAAACAAATACATCTAGTTCTGACAAACTGAGAAATGTTATATTAAACATCTACGTAAGTAATTTGTATAATGAGACATGTTCTATGGACATCATGAATGATTTATTAGAACAGCAAACAATTTTATCAAACACCTGTAGAAAGATGTGTATATCAGCATTTAACCTATCACCACAAAATCTCACTAAAACATATATAATTACAAAATATAACATCAAATTATTATAAATAGCGCCTGTAACCTTATATCAGTTCATATTAAACATTCAGTATTTAATTGGTCCTCCTCGTACTCTAATAACCTCCGCATGGTTATTAATGTAATCCAACTTGTCACTAGAAGGCGCTGCAACTCAAGTACAGTAACTGGTTTAGGGCTAGGTTAGCAATTTTCCGGCTTAGTTCTGCCCAACAGTTCTCAATGGAATTACAATATGGAGACTTTGCTGGCCGTGGCAATTTTGTAACGTCCTCCTGGTCAAGATAATACTGTACAATACAGGCGTCTTTATGTGATGCTTATAGGAGACACCCTGGAGGATATGAAGGGCAGTTTTCTCACCATGATAAATAGCTACGTAAACATGTACTACACCATTACCCCTATGTGTTCCCTGTGGGAAAGATCAGTGGCGTAGCAAGAGGGGGGCAGTCGCCCCTGGGCACAGGTGTGAAGGGGCGCAAAATTTCCTCTGGCCTATAATGCCTATTAATTAATAATCATGCCCTCCCCTAGGATATAGCGCAACTGCCCTACGTTTAGTAAATACGACACAGTGTTACGTTATTTGTGTGTATTACGCTTGCAGTTTTAACCTTTAAAAGCCGCCCACTGAAATACAGTGAGATGGAATTGACACACAGAAGTAAATTACACTATTCCATCATTCATCTGTAGATCAAATACAAGTCCTAGAGTACAACGTACTAGTAAGTGTATGTTCAACAAAAAGAAAATACGAGATTGATGTAACATATTG